AAAAAAAAGGCTAGATACGGAGAGATAACACTTGCACGGTAGTCTTAATCTATCTGGCCACTTCGTTTTTCCTCAGCTGAAACTGGCAAGAGGGGTTCGGAAGTTATCGTTATAAAGCTAAGTACCCTGCTGATATATACAGATTTTACATACATGTATCTGGCACAATGATCTGCTAGTTATAATGATTGCTACTAGACCTAAGTGGCTGGTTATAGTAGCAAATTACTGAGTAATTTCCAAACTATATGACGGTTACGTCATCATATATATTTTGTGCACAATCCATTACAAAGATGACGTGGTTAACTACACAGAAGAAAAGCGCAATCTTCGTAAATGGCAGATACAAATCCCATCAACCATCGCTCTGTCCTTTGTTATCGAATATACTCACTACTAACATTATATTTTTAAACCTCAATGGTTTCATTAAAAGGGTTAACGTTATAAGAGGAAAACCATAAAAATCCGTCGATTATCTTAGATAAGACAGGTACTGTACAGGATATGGAGGAGGGCCCCATCATAGCTGCCCAGACTAACGTAAAGTAACGAAATACTGTTCTTGGCTAAATGGGTGTTAAACACAGATACACATTATTATTTTTATTATTTTACAGGGACCCCGCTCTCAGTGTTCCTAGCGTTCAAAGTCTCTCTCAGTAACCTAATCTACATGGCACTGTTTAAATATGGACAGTTGAGTCTTTGGCAATTTACAGCTCTTGGAGTATCCCTTATGGTGCTGGGACTGTTTCTGACGTCTTTTGCCGACAGTCCACAGTTTGTGGCTGCATCTTTTGGTATACTTTCGGGAAGTGGCACTGGGGTTTTAATAGTTTGCACGTATATAGTGATAGCACTTTGGTTTCCATGGTCTCACCGGTTTCATGTTTTCTCAACGAGTGTGTTGTCTGCAATGGATCCCCTTGGTAAGTATGGTGACATAGCCACAAAATAAAATGTTGCGGCTTAGGCAACTCCCTCTCTGTACATTTAAATCCTAAACGTGTATTCAAATAGTCCTTTAATTCGTCATTTAAATCATTTTATTTTCAGATTTACCTTTGATGATTTTATGTTGCACTTGCTCTTAATTGTAATTTAAGGTATAACAGTAGTAAATGTTGTCGTTGCTAACATGTGCGCCGACCCCTCACTAGGATGGCGCTGGGCATTTCGACTTTGTGCTGCGGTTTTTGGCTCCATAGGTTCACTTCTTCTTGCGGTATTCGGCAATCCCCCAATAGTGTCGTCCGAACAGCAAGAAGCTATGCCAAATGAAAAGTAGGTTTATCTTGATGTTAGTAATCAAGTCATATGCTGCATTCAGAATAGTGTACGAAGTAGTCTGCGGGTCAAATCCGCCGACCCACTTGAATACTTCCCAAAAGTTAGTGTCTGTTAGCTTTTGGGTGGGTCGCCATATTCGGCTCTAGGACTAGTTGGTCCACTGTTTTGAATGTGTTCGACCTGGTTGCACATTTTAAGTCGCAGAAAGGGGGCACAGAGGTCACAGGTAGGTGTAAAGGAGGCCTTAGTTAAAAGCGAAAACTTTCCAATGCAGTTTCCATATTTTGAGAATATAAACATTTTAACCATGAAGAGACCATGTGTGGTATATAAGGATACGAAAATGAAATATGTTGTTGCATTTTCTTTCAGGTCTTTCAGGTCACCGAATATTCAGAAACCGCCATGGTCTGTGCGTTCTAAAGTCGTTATTCATGGAATCTGGGCAATAGCAATATGCTGTAAAGGATTTGCTTATTTCTTACCAATGGTTATATTAGTAAGTATACAAAATTACTATAGTATATTAAGCATCTTTAAGTAGTTTTGGTCGCATATAATAATGTGTATATGTACCGGTCATGTTATATCATTACTGTAGCACACAAAGACGTGAAATGATTTAAAATCAAATAGCAACAACAATGCACCAATGCAACAACAATGCACCAATTTATTCTTACCAGGGAAGTGTCTCAAAATATGGAAGGTTTGAATCAAAAACGCTCTAATTTTAAACTCAATTATTTATCCAACCGTTTTCGAAACTGATGTGCCATGTTTTAACTTGTTTTGTCACATGAACTGCAACGTACGTGAAATAAAGAGCACTGAAGTTTGGAAGATTGGTGACTAATAAAAAGTTAAGTAGTGATCAGACGAGAGCAGAAAATAAAGAGTAATTCATGCTTCCCGCCAAGCAGATAACAGCAGATTAATATGTTATATGTTAGTATTTTGCACAGCTTTTCAATTGTTTAACAAGTAAAGAAAGCTGGATGTTAAATGAAGACGCAAAAGTTCAAACACTTACAATAACAGACTGTTAACATAAAAGTTATTATAGTCGAATAAAGTGTATGAAGTAAAATTTTAATATTTCTCAATATTACTGTATTTTGTGAAGTCAAAATTAGATGACACCATACGGTTTTTTAACTTTATTTCAGTTGCATTTTTGTTATACATATCACTTTTTTGCACTGACTTATTTTCTTCAGCCAAAACACTTGATAGACCTTGGTTATAAGGAAGTCGACGCAGTGAAAGTTATATCAGTATTTGGGACCGTAGGTGCGATTGGACAGGCGTTTGCCTCATTGGTTGGGGATTATGTGAAGGGATATATTATGGTGGCGAACCTTGTGGCGGCTACGATGCTCACTGTGAATAATATTATTGCAGCATATTCGACATCTTTGACTGCTGTTTATGTATATTGTGCTGGTGGGTACGTTTTACATTTGATGTTCGTCCTCCATGATAAGCTTTATATATATATATATATATATATATATATATATATATATATATATATATA